CTCGGAAGAAGTAGATCTTGAATGCCTGCAAATTGATTTATTAATGAGCACAATTCAATGAGAAATGCAGAAAGAAGTCTCTTCTATACTAGTCAAATCAAATTAGAGAAAAGGATGATCTACCTTTTTTAAACATCAATTTAATATTAATAGACACTATTACTAACAGACATAAGCTAGAGAATGCCTATAATAACTATTGTAAGATGTCTAGGTTTCAAGAATTACAGTATTTCAAAGATAAAAAAACTTTTGAGAGAGAAATTGAGAGAGAAGGAAGAATTATATGGGAATGTGAATAAATATTGAGAATGTTCAGTGCATAACAACTCCACAGCCCAGGATAAATGCTTTAGATAGAATACTCCATTCTAACATCATACTTAACACTAGGAGATGTCAAAAACCTTCATACTGAGGTGAAGGCTTTTCTCTGAAGTACCAGTTTCAGGTTGAAGACTTGTGTTCTTTCCCCACTTGTATCGGCATTCTTCCTTTGCGTGGCCTGGGAAAAGTCTGCCTCTTTCTTCTCTGTACAGCTCAATCCGCTGAAGAGCACAGGTGGTGAAATTAAGGCAACAAAGAGATATTAAAATGTATCATATGCTCAAAGGAAAGAGGAGATAAGAAAAGAACAGTCAGTAAAATTAGAAGTTTGAAGCTGTAGAAAGAAGAGGTATCAGGGAAGAAATTCCTGACTCTTAATGCAAAGAAATAAAATAGTGTGGGGTGAGGGATTTTTGGACTTCATTTGGAGCATAATAAACCCCATTGGGTCGTAAATCAGACACCAGATGGAGATGATGAATCACTGAATAACAAAATAGAAAAGGCACAGGTATTCACTAATTAGAAAACTAGTTTTCTCTTTGGGAAGTTATGGAATTATGGGGGGTGTGTCTGGTAAGGTAGGCAAACTTGAAAAACTAAAGCCAATGAGTAATTATAGCAAAGATGGAATTATATTTTCCTCAGTTCTTGGTGCCTGTACTTCTTTTATTATACTCTTATTCTTCTCCACTGAATAACAAAATAGAAAAGGCACAGGTATTCACTAATTAGAAAACTAGTTTTCTCTTTGGGAAGTTATGGAATTATGGGGGTGTGTCTGGTAAGGTAGGCAGACTTGAAAAACTAAAGCAAATGAGTAATTATAGCAAAGTAAAGATAGAATTATATTTTCCTCAGTTCTTGGTGCCTGTACTTCTTTTATTAAACTTATTCTTCTCTTTTTCTTCCTGTTCGGTGAATAATAATGCTTTCTTTGGGGTTTTGTGGATTTTTTTCTTTCTCCTGAATTTTTATCTTCTCTGTTATGTGCTGCATTATATTGTCTGATTGCATCAATCATGTTGTGTCTCCTGAAGTAAATAATATATTGTCAAGTTATGTATTATTTAATGCTGAAGAGAGCGATCACAAGTGAGTACACAGGTATGCACTTACAATTTTCTGTGGTGCTGGAACCTGTATTTACCAGATGTTATAAAGGAAGAAATGAGAGAATTCAATCTGAATTCATTCAAGTTGAATTTCAAGTGTTGAACTTACTTCAATAGTGACTGAAAAGTTCAAGCTGAACTCTATTATCTATTTAGAAGAAATTATGAAATGTTTGTAAAGGCAGTGTCAGTTTTCTGTTGTGTAAATACCAATGCTATCAAATCAAAAACCAAGTGCTGAAGTATATTTTAAGACCCTCAACAGTCTGCAGTTCTTCAAATGATTATGAGGAATAGGATTGAAGGTTGTGTTATTCCTTTGATTTTTAAAATGGCAAATTCTTGTACATTTAATGCTTAATCTGTATTTTATTCCATATCTGTTACTTCACTGAATCATTTCATCAAAGTCATATAAACAGTAAATTTGAGGCTTCAAAGTTGTATATATTTTCATTATAATGTAGATCCTGTTGAGTTGTTTTCTGATAAGTTTCAGATCTGCATTTAATGACATGTACATGTTACTTCCAATGTCACTTACCCACTGGAAACCAAGCCTCACACAGTGGTTTATGAGGCTACCTAAAGGTTTTCTGGTATTCAACCTTGGTTGAATATCTGAATTTCACCACTTTGTGTCGTAAAAAGTCTGGTGTTGAGGAGCACTGTCTAAATTTCATGGTTATAGTTCTCTCTGATTTCGAATAAAAGCCATGTTCCTATTGCCAAGGTAGGAAATTTGCACCTACAACTTCTTATTTCCACTTCATTATTCATTACAGGAAACATTAAGCAAATTGAGAACTAAGAAATTTGCTTATTAGCTTAATCAAAAACTTCAATCCTTTGAAGTGATGATGCCTCCTCTGCATGTGTGAGTTATCCTTAACTAAGAAGCTGCACGGATGAAATCTGTACCAATAGAAACATTGCTAATGCTGATGTTTAAACTCAGGTCCTTGCTAGGGCTTTTTTTAGTCCTGCACTAGCAAAAAAAAGAACTATCAAAGCTTCATTTGACAGTTTTTCTCCTTCCAATCCTCCCAGAGCTGAGCTGGGAAAGTGGATACATAGCTGGTCATTGACACATTTGACTTGTGATAAGTCTCTGATAAGTGAGAGCATTAAATGCAGTGATTTATGTCACGTGTGCCCTCACTACTGACAGGATCAATGTTACTGCAGTGGCAACATGGATAAAAGCTTTTTTAAAGATTGTTCTCTTTTCTGCATTTTGATTTCCATGCCAATATTTTAAAGTTCAGTCAAGGAATCAAATTGCAAATATTTTGTACTATTACATCTAGCAATCTTTTACACCTCCCCCCCCTTTTGGCTTCTGTGGGTGTATTTATTATTTAGTTATTTGAGCAATATTTTTGTAGAATATACTCAGCCTGTTAGTTGCCTGCAAACTCTTTGTTAGTTGCCTGCAAACTCTTTGCTGAGTACTTTCTGTCTGTTGTGCTTATGTTTATGATCACTGAAACCATGTTAATATTGGTTTAACAAGGAGGTAACAGATGCGTCAGGCAAGAGGACTGTGAAAGAATTTTGGGTAATTAGAGCAAAAATTTAGTTGTTTCTATTAAATTCCAGTAACTGTCAAAATATTTACCACTTGTGAATCTCATTCCTGAGTGCAAAATTATTACAAACATAGTCTGGTGCTTTAAGTTAGAAAAATAATATTTTTATTTAACCATATTATTACCATGAAGAGTAGAGCTAGACTATCTGATATCAAAAGTATTAACTTAAATAATATATGCAATATTTACTTATTAATAAATACATAAAAGAAAACAATCTTGTGAGGAAAAACAGTGAATTAAATTTTCATGTGAAAATATGTTTCATGTGATAAATATAAATATTTTTCTGGAAATGCTATAGGATTGGAGTATAAGTCTGGAAGAATACAAGTTATTTCCTTTGTGTACAAGACTTCCAACTATAAGACTTCCAGAATTTGCTTTCAGAGTTTTAATTTTAAACTTTTACTGGAATTATGACTTTGCTGCCATTGAGCTGAGCACCAAAATTCTCACAGGTTTCCTAAAGTAAAATGGGCACCACTTTAAGAGGTTTGGTAGTTATACATAGGTTTGAATGTCTGAATTTAATTGTGATGCAAACAAGTTAAAAAAACAGTCACTTATGCCTTACTTATAAAAATTGTAATTCCAAAATTAGACAATTTTAATTTTCCAGTCATCTTTGTATATGATGCTTAGAATCAACTGTTTGGGTGTGATATGTGTGTATTTTCAGATAATTATCTTTTATGTGTTTGATAACTCATTTGCATTCAAGAACAGCTTATTCTCTTTTCAAAATTTCATTATTTGTTAAATTCAATTGTATGTTAAACTGATCCATTACATAAAAAATAAATTCAATGTTATGTAAGTCTGGAATTGTAGGTTAATACAGTGTTAATTAAGCACTATAATTCATTAAAAGCATGTACTTGAGAGAAAAAAAAGAGCAGGAGTTCCTAGTGAAGAACTATAAAAGCATATTGAAAAATATTCCCCCAAAGTAGAATTTTAAACATTACTGCAATTTTTTGAATCTGAATCTTTTGTTATTACTGAAATGCTTGAATTTTATTCTTCCTATGCAAAATATCAGAGCTTTCTAAGCTTCAATATTGACAAAGTCAATACTACTAATCAAAAAATATTTAGCAATAAATTCCTCTAGCTGCAGAACTGGTTTATGTACTTTTGAGACCCGTAGTGTTTGTGTACTGCTGATTTTGGTGTTTATCATGGAATTATAGCATGGCTTGGATTGGAAGGAACCTTAAAGGTCATCTTGTTCCAATCCTGCTCTCATGGGAAGAGCTGCATTCTAGACCAGGCTGCTCAGAGCTTCACCCAACCTGGCCTTGAACACTTCCAAGGGTGGGGCATGCACCAAGTCTCTGTGCAAGCTGTCCCAGTGTCTCACCAACCTCACAGTATTTTTTCCTAATATTCAATTTAACCCTAGTCTTTCAGATTGAACCCACTCCCCTTTTTCCTGTCACCACATGCTCTTGCAAAAAGGCCCTGACCCAGGTGCAGCACTTTGCACGTGGTCTTACCAAACCTCATGAGATTCCCATTGTCCACCTCTCCAGTTTGACCCTTTGGATGGCATCCCACCTTCAGGTGTGTCATTATTGTGATAATATGCTATCTTTATGTGTTCAAAGCTAATTTTTTTTTCCTTTGATTGAATTTATTAACCAAATAGCATGCCATGATACATTAATATGCTACTACAATAACACATCTTTGTAAGTTAAAAACCATCATATAATATTTTGGATGGGACATGGCTTTATTAAAATTAGTTACTCATCGCATTAAGTAGAGACTTCAGTCATCTTAAAAATATCATACTCAAGTCTTTAATATTTGAAGTATAATTTTACAAATAAAAAGAATACAAACTTGTACAGCTGAAAGCACATTTGTTAGGCTGGATGAGGTCTCTGACTCAGTCAACTTTCTGCTGCTGATCCTTGACCAAGGTGTTTTCAGAGTGCCTCTGGGGTCTCAGCTCTATATATCATAGATGGTTGAAGATGTTTTGTTGGTTTTTTTTTCTTTTTAAGCTGCCACTAAATAAGCATCTGTGTGAGAGAAAATAAAATGTTTTAGTGCTATCAATTGATTTTATTATCCCATTCGCAAGACATGAAATTATTTGACAGAACTATAAACCAGGGGGAAGTAAACATTTCTATCATCCTTTAGAACAGTACCACAAGAAAGGACATGGTGCTATTAAAGTGCTGCTAGCTTTCCTGAATGCCAAAGGCCAGCCAAAGTCCTTCTAAAAATGTCACATAAATTCCTTATTCAAAGCAGTGAATTTTATGGAACAGAATGTCCACTGAATTAAAAACAAAATTATAAAAGTATTACAGGTATAACCTGCTAAGAAACAGTAATATCACTGATTCATAGTGATGCCTGGAATTTAATTTTACCCAATTCTAAGGAATTATTAAGAAGAAATTGATCTACAATTTCTACTCCCATGTGACCATACACTCTCCTTACTTACATGGTATCTGATATGAACTATTATTCACTTTTTTGATAACTCAAGTAAAATCTAGGAGAGAAAAGTGCTAGGAAAACAACTTTCTTAAAAGAGATGGTAATCTGAAGCTTTATGTTAAATGAGCATAGAGTCTAATTTCAGCTGAGTTTTGACTTTACTATTCACATTTTAGTTTAGTTTTGGGTTTTTTTCCCAGAATTTGAAGTTTTGTTACTGCGTGGTACTGGATAGAGCAGGATAACAATGAGTGAAAAACATAAAGCAATAAGGCTGATGGCAGTACATGATAGTAATGTAAATTATATTTGCTATTCTGTTATTTTTCATGATATACAAGTATTTTATGTTGGTCATGTTTGACCAGCCTCCTCTGCAATGAGAAGACTGGCTCAGTGGATGAGTGAGACAGCATTGAGTACTGCTTATCTTGACTGCAGCAAAGGTTTTGATGATAGAATACAGACTAGGTAAGTGAGAGTTAGATTAAAATTGGCTGAACTGCCAAGAAAGAGAAAAACTTTGGAGTCCTAGTGGACAGTGAGATCAGCAGACGTAATGAGCCTTTGAGCTGGCAGAGAATTTCCAGCAGGTCGAGGGGGACAAATCTTCTCTTCCACTCAGCTCTACTGATCCATGCCTGGAGTGCTGAGACCAGTCCTGGGCTCCCTGGTGCAAGAGGAATGGGCGCACTGGACAAACACAATTAAGGACTGGAGCTTCTCTCACAGGAGGAGAGGATGAGAGCTGGGACTATTCACACTAAAAAAGAAAAGGCTCATGAGGGAAATCTTGATGCTCTTGTGGGTGAGTGAAAGATGGAGCCAGGCTCTTCCCAGTGATGTCCAATGAATGGACAAAAGGCACCAGGCACAAATAAAAACACAGTTGAAATTCTATTCAAAACTAAGGGAAAAAAATAGTATGAGAGTTCAGCAAAAAAGATTACCCAGGTTGGCTGTAGAATCTCCCTCTGTGGAGATATTTAAACACAACTGGATGCAGTTCTGAGCACCTCTTTATAGCTGACCCTGCTCTGGTCTGGAAATTTGATCTAGACAATCTTCAAATGTGTATTCCAGGCTAAACACTCTATGATTCTGTGCATTTCTAAACATAAATGTAACTCTTTACTTCAGGCTAAAATTACATTAAAAAGCAAGATCTTCAGAAGATCAAAACAATGTCAAACTAATTACTCTCTGATGTAAATATTAAAACATTTGTAGTAACTCAGATGGTCCAAACCTTGGTCTTCTGTTTTACAGAACATGTTCATAATCTAATATTATTTTTACCTTACAGAAAGACTGTAAGTTAATACCAAGGGCTTTGCTGTTCTGGTGAGAATCTTTAATTTTATCCTTTTTATCTGAGACTATGTCTGTGAGAGACTTTTAATTGGGGATAGTGGGAGGATTACCTCAGGAAACACTGGCCCAGAGATGATGTCATGAGTTTTTTGTCAAGACTTTGGTTTCACTTATCAGGAAGAGATCTGGCCTCTTTTGATGGTGTGAATCAGCTGGCTATGAGTGTCATTATAAACAAATTTTATCCATTATTGATTTTGAATAAGACTTTTAAAAGTGGCAAGACTGGCTCTAGACAAATTGGTTTAGATCTGTTTTTCTTTGTGGTCCTGCTTTATTAGAAATTATTATCTTCATTGAACTCACAAACTCTTCTCTGTAGACTGTGATGACTGGGCAATCCTTCTTATTTCCCTCCTCTGCTGGTTTTAACATCTACAGAGAAATAAATAATCTGCTCCCTTTCCCTCCACTACTTCTAATAATTGAGGAACAATAAGGACAGATTATAAATTGGAATAACAATTTATTAAAATCACAATAACCACAGCAATATTATTAACTAAGAACATACAAAAGAGATAGAGTGTTTTACCCACAATAAGATATTTACCTCCAAGAACAAAAACACTTCCTAAAATTAGTGCTGCCCACATGGTCTCCAGACAAAGGCAATATTGAAGGAATTCACTGAAAGAACAGAAAGGGAGTGGTGGTGGCAGAGTACTGATTCCAGCCTCTTATCTCCAGAGTGAGACAGGAAAGGTGGGGAATTTCCAGTTTCTGACACTCAGCTGTTCCTTCCAAAACCATGCCTTGGTGATGATGTGAATGGCTTGGAATAGAAAAGTGATAAAAAACTTGACCCCCTTTTCTCTACAACCAGGACCTATCCAAAAAGATTTTCATCATTGCAGCAAAGCTGATTCAGCCACCAGTCTTAAGTCATGTCCAGACTATAAAGAGTTCCCAAGAAAATCCCCTTCACTGCCAGATGTGCAGAGCTACATCAATGCTGGGAACTCTGAGCTAAGCTAGGCATCTCTAATAATATAGAATTTATTCAACAGAGACTTCACCTGGTGTTTTTCTGAATGCTGCAGACTCTTCCTTGCAAGCTCTCTGAAGATTGGGTAGAGGCAGCTTCGCGCTGGGCTTGCCCCAGGCTACTGAGTCCTGCAGAGAGACAGAAAATAATGTCTCAGCCCTGGGACTGCTTGTCTGGGTGTGTTAACATGCAAACTGCATTCACACAGCTTCCTGTTTGCTTTGCACCATGACCCAGGCTCTCAAAAAGAGCCCAACTACTGAATTCTCATTGTTGCTAATGCCAGTGTAATGGAATTGCTCTTTAGTGCTGGTGTGAAATTTCCCCAGGGCTAACAAATACTTTGTCCATGACTACATGGCAAGTCTTTTAAGCCTATTGGCATAAGCTACTTTTAAAGTTCACACAAATAACCTGAAAGAAGCTACGCAGAAAGAAATGTAAGTCTGAAATGCAGGAGCTGTTTTAGTCTGATCTTACAGCCAGTGGGATGTCCAAAAACCTGCCAAAGGCTGAGAACTAGCAAAGACAAAAGCACATTACTGGGAGGAGGCCCCCAGTGCTGTTATGAAGTTAAACTGTGGCATAAAGAATCCCCAAAGAAAGTCAAGACTCCATGTAGACCTTAACAAGGCAAAGGCACAAACTGAGCCAGATTGTCCTTCAAGGGACTACACTGAGAAGCCTTGGACTGTGCTGTCTCCTTGGCAGAAACTTTAGAGGTGACATATGCCCATGGTCTCTGTCACTATTATAGCACTGCAGTAAATGGGGAATGAGAATAAGCTTACTCATCGTGCATGTCACAGTGTCTGGATTTCAATATTGCCTGTCTCAACAATGCTTGTTATTTAATAGCTGACATCTACCTACAAGTTTTCTATGTACACATTGCATTTACTGGCAGATTTTGCTAAAGTAAAATTCACATTTGTGCATTGCTTTCAGTCCTGTATTTTCTTTCTTTCCTCAGGCCCCCATAGAGTTCCCCATAATGGTGCCCAGGGTTAAAGGTAAATTCCTGTAAATGGTTTTGCATTTCATTTTCCACTTATTGCTACATCTATGTTGCTCCATTTTCTGCAATGGTCTTCCATGTAGCTTGATTCTCTTCAATTCCTTTGTATGATCACTCTTTTCTTTGAAGACAAAACCAACACATCCAAGGCAGTATTGCTCTAGAAAAGTTTCATGGAATATTCTAACTTGTGCAGTTAGAAGTACAGCTTGATTGTTACACTGAATTATTTAGATTTTTATATGCATAAAATTAAACAAATTATACAGAGTTATCTACTTCAAATAATGGTGGTATTTTATTTTGATCTCTGCCATTGAGACTGCATGCTTAGTCTCAGGAAGAGTTCCAAGGATCCTGTAAATAGGCACGGAAGCAGATGAAGCTTTTTAAACAAAGGAATTGTAGTCATGTTCTCTTGTCTTTGACTATGCCTGCATGAATACATATTGTCAGCAGCATTTTACTTTATGTCAAAGCAGGTTTCAGTTATAGCTTTTCTAGATCTAAGAAGCAGCCCGGCTGTTTGATTTCTTGCATCTTCTCCAGCGTTTTCCTTTCTCTTACTCTCAGTTATTTATCGCTTTTCATTGCTAACCGCTAAGTGCCTCCAGAATTATTGTCATGCTTATGTCTTCTGATAGTAATTTCTTATCAAATCTTCATCCCCATAATTCTATAAAATGCCTTCTTTTTCATAACAATATGCTAATTCATGTTCAAAGTATTGTACCCTGCAATCTGTTTTGTAGTTTCTCATAAGCATTTTCCTTTGATTCAATCAATTTATTTTTCATCACCTAGCAACCTCCAAATCCAGCAAACAGAAATGAATCTGCAACAGATATTTTATTAATTTTCAGCTCATTGTCAGAGGCATTTCATACTGTCCCGAGATGAAATTAGAAAGTTAGACTTTGACTTTGAATAATATATTTATCAGGGAAAATTTTATTCCACTGGGGTTATGGCTCATCAAATGAATTTGTTTGCAGTTCAGCAGTCACCTGAGATATTCATTGAAAGTTTAGAACATCTGTGTTTCTCATCAGATTTGGCTGATAGCACATTTGGATTCATTCATAACAACCTGAAGAAAACAATCATGTCTTTATTCTTAATCTGCCTACACATTTAAAAGGAGCTTGAATTAAGAATTTATGTATCATATGGAAGAAGATAAAGAGGAAGATGGTCTTGGAAAACAGAACAAAAAATCATTTATTACTCACCATCAGCCTTCTGTAGGGTCATTTGTGGAATTGTATTTCAAGTTTAAAGGAATATTTGTAAGGTAGAAGCAGAAGGTTATGAAGCTGGTTGCAGAAATATGATCTTTATATGGAATTTGAAAATTCCCAGTGGAATTTTATGTGAGAAAAGAACTCCTTAATCAGGGCCACACTTCCATTTTCATTTTAAAACACTCAATTTTGTAGATTTTGAACACTTTGTTACTTGTACTGTTGTCAGATACTTTGTGTAGGGGCTGTTTTAACGCAGCCATATGGACCTTCTGTAGCAGAATTCCAAAGATGAGAGCATACAATTCCCTGTACTGCATACATTCTGCAAGATCAGACAATTGTGAATAGTGGTCATGAGAATGATACAAGCAGGAATTTCTCCAACATTCTGTAAGAAACAGATCTGGAATTCTACCTCTGGCACAGGTCTGACTGTGCATGAGACTTAAATTGGCAGATTGCAACAGCTGTGGTTGCACAGGTGACCCTGTGGATTTAATTGCCTTTCTCAATTTTCTCTTGAAAAATATGAGTTCATTTTTAGAGCACTGTCAAAGGAAAGGCAGCTCCAGTTTTACCTCCCTATTAGCTTTAGGTAGTTCAAATCTGCATCTCTTGTCTCTCTGCCCACTCCTAGGTTTGATGGGTTACACTGCAAGGGAAATTTCTTTTGTCTGATTTTTAAGAATGTGCAGCTGAGATAGAAAAATGTTTTTAACTGGCTCCCCATCTCAGGAAGGGTGAAGGCTTTTTAACTTTTCTGTCCTTGGACTGAAACAAACAAACAAACAAAACAAATACACCCAAAAAACCAGGAAGATTAAAAAAGGTAGGGGGAGAAATAATGGAGAAATCATCAGAAAATTATTAGTGTATGCCTGCATACTTAATGGTAATTTAAGGTTTTGGGTACTTGTTTTGATTTAAATATTGTTTTCAAGCTCATAGCTCTTCAGTCACCCCATCCATGTGAGCTTTCATAAAAGCAAGATTATGGGTCTGAAATATTCACAGACTTAGGAGATGATGTGGTCAAATGTGCAGCTGCAGCTGAATCAGGAGAAGGGATTTTGTTCCTCAAGTTTCCAATCCTCTCCCCAACCCTCGTTCCTGGTCTGCTGCAGGCTTTCATATGCTGTAGTCCCTCTGCTCTACACAGTCTCAGTTTTGGCAAAAGCCAACCCAAAGGTTAACATTGACAGGATTTATGCCTACCCCGGGTGTTTTGACAGGAGCAGAAAAGGCAGTGGCTCTATTTCAGGCTCTGGCCATCCTGAAATGGTTTCTTCACCTGGAGCACAGGGATGAGTGAGGAGGTGGCCTGGGGACAGAAGAGCAGCACCTGACTCAGCAGCCACCAGGACAGTGTGCCTACCTGCCAGCAATGACCTTTTCTTTCTTTTTTTCAGGTTTCTTAGCTTTAACAGTGCTGGTAACAGCTGTGTCTCAAGCAGACACAGTAGTGATTTCTGCCATGAATCAAAGCAGCTGTTGCTGCTATTGCCAGTTTGTGTGGTCTCTGAGACCTGAATTAAAGACAGCATTTTTAAAAGGTCAGCTTTTCACTGCGGAAAGAATGTGGATCACAAGATGAAAGAGATTGACTTTGTACGTTTGGTGTATGATGTTAATCAATGCTTCATAATTTATTGATTTTTACTTTAAAAAAATCCACTCAGTAATGTGCCTGTCTGCCACTGTTTTATTTTGTATTTGGAGGTTATGGAATTCTAGCACCATCAGAAGTCTTCTTCCTTTTTCACTCATTTGAATGAATTATAGTCACTTACAGCATCTTTATTCCACTCAGGTGATGCATTTTATGAAGGTAACACCTAATTTTAGCATAAACAAGCACCCATCATCATTCATAAAACTGAAAAAAAAAGGTTCTTCAGCTGTTTGTTTTTCATGTTCCCAGCCTGTCATTTAGTGGTGATAGGACTAAACAGAGGCAAGCAAGGAAAGCAAATTTAGCTGTGAAGCCCTGCCAGTGAACTTTCAATTTTTTTCATCAGAATAATATATGTCCTGTCACGCATTTGCAGCTGCACTGTTAATTCAACCTTTTCTGCCTGACTGATTTCATTGCATCATAAAAAAAAAAGAGAAAATGGACAGGTCATATAGGTGAAACAACATTCATAGTTCACATACAGACTGTTATATATAAAGCATAAATTACAATATTGGTAAACAAACTTACAAATTATTTTAACCTTTCCAAATAAGATCACACTGTGGAACTCTTCTGCACATTCAGTAAATCAGAGAGGTCAATATTTGGAAGATGTTAGTCAGCATCTACTATTTTTCAGATTTTCAAAATATTCCTTACTTAAAAGTCATCTAGAGTAGCTCCACAAACAATTTGCTTTTAGAGAAGTTCCTAGTATTTTGCAAACTTTTTTTGCATTATGGGAAATGTGGTCTTTTCAAGCATGAATTCTATAAAATGTGAGGATATTTCAGGACCACAACATTCACTGTTAAGGCATATCATATTTGGTGATACAGAAAGAGAGAAAATAAATGCAACTCTTTTTTTTTTTTCCCCCACAGTGATTAACAAACACTTAACTATATCCTATTTGCCTAAGAAAAGCCATCTGATCTTTGAGTTGGGTGGGTTGCCTCACTGGCCTCTCCTTTGACAATCTGCTAAATGATCTGAAACAAGTAAAATTTTGGGTAAAGTGCATCAGGATTATTTGAGAATAATATTTCTTAAAAAAAAAATCAAATAAAGATTCAAACTCCTAATCACAGAAGACCCAGATAAAGTACTTGGAATACTAGATCAGAGACAATTTCTTAGATCCATGTCCAGAACTATATGTGTCAATGAGTTCACTTCACAATGTGTTTCTTTTCACATTGGCCTCTTAGTCTGTGTTTGCATTATCTTCACTAGGAATATTCCTTTCTCCTCAGTGACATATATTAAACCATTTCAGATGTTCTCCTTGATTTTTCATACTTCTGCTTCATGGTGTCAACCACCTTTCTTACATGGTCATGAAGCAAGAAAAAAAAATCACAAAATGCCCTCCCAATATTGTCTTACTCCTGCACTCTGTTGTTTAATAATGTCTCAACTTGTATTTTTACCTTATGAGTGTTTATTTCCCAGATATCTTTTAGAATTTTTTTTGTTCAAATTGTTTGGGCGAAGAATTTTGAATGAAAAAGGTTTGCTTGAATGACTCAGATTCATGAAAAAAGCTGTTCTTCCTCTCCCCCTGCTGCTGCTGCAAATACAAACACACACACAAAGACAGACACAGAGACACACACATGATATTTTCAGTTTACTCTTTTGTCCACTGTGCTTACCAGAGCTGTAACATGTACACCTGTGACCAGGCTGGAGCTCAAGCAGAAGCAAAATCTCTTCTCCATCCCCTCTGACCTGAGACAATGTCATTGCATGGTGATGACAGAAACAAATTTGTCAGCTTCTGGACAAGGAAGGAATCTTGCTCTTGGCAACTTGTCATCTTTACAGATTCTCTGTTACATTTTGACAATCTTGGCTAAGTCTGGGAGTTCCATGGTATGAAATGCTGCCTAAATTAGTCTGGCAGGTACAACAGATGTGTTCATCAGAAGTTCTTGCTTTCCTGTAGTAAATTAAGACATGGCAGCTTGAGATGTTAAAGAGAAATGTGCCTTTGATGACTAAACCAATTCAAATTTACACAAGATGGATTAAATCTTGGATTCTACCAACAAGTTAAAGAATATAGTTAACAGTTCTGCAAGTCTTTTCTTCAACTACCAACTTGTTCTGAGTTTTTTAAACTTGTTTGATCCTCATGTTGTATACTTTTGCTGGCACTTATATGCTTCATAACACTTGTACCTGAAACTCACAACTGGCTGTTTTATCTGCTGTTCACTATGTTGGAGTGTGCAAAACATCTGCTAAAATCTTGCAAAAATATTCATAAGTGTAAAAATTTCTGACTAATTGTAAAAAATCCCTTTCATCTCAGCTGTAGAATATATGGGGACAACATGCTCTTCAATAATAAATGGGTACTTGCCTCCTCTAAAATTGTTTAAATAATAATAGGTAAACTGAACTTCAATATCTAGGGTGGCAGTCTATTGCTTTTGAATGTTTACCTATATTTTTATGATTATTAATATTTATATGAATATTTAAACCAGAATTTCAATTAAGCATTTTCACAGTTGAGGGAAAAAATAATCCAAATAATGAAGACAAATACTATTATGTGGAAGTCATAATTTTGAGACAAAAGAAAATAATTTCTGGGTTTATAATTGGTCTTTTAAAAGACAACTGGATGACTGTGGCCTAACCCATTTTGCAGCTATGCAGATGATCCTTTCTGATTTCACTTCATGTCACAGAGAACAGTATAACCTTCTTAAATGACACTTTGCTAATCCTCATTCTTTATGAATCTGCACAAAAAAATTGGCAGTGTTTTCACTTCCACTGAGCAAAGATTGAAGATTAGGAAAAAGTGCTGAGAGAATGATTCATGTATTTCTGGGATGTCACTATCTTTAGAACATGCACTTAGTAGGATAAAGTACATTATTAAATAGCTGACATGTGTGTCACATGTCCTTATTTTCTGTTCTGCTTTCATGCCTGATAAATTTCTAAGGCTGGTAAAATATATGGACAACTTGGTAGGTATTGAAATTGTAAAATTTTACCACACAGAATTCTTCATTCCTCATTGCAGAATCCAGGCACGAACTGGGCTTCCAGCTTTTGGAGGTTATAGTTTTGTGTGCAGTTGTGGTACATGAGCTGCACAGTGCATCTGCTGAATCATAAATTATAGTTGAAATTATTCATGAGATTCCTCTTTCTAGTATTACAGTAAAAACAATTTCTAGACAATTGTGGGTTATTTAATTAGGAATTTCTGCTTGCAGTGATTTTTACTGTGAGGGATTTCATGGATAATATTTTCCCTCTGCATACTTTTTTGGTTATTAAAACTGGTTGGTTTTAGGACTTCTAAATTCCATTTCAGCACGAGATTGTCTGGAATTCTGAGAATTTGTTGGGATTTTCAGTTAAAATTAAAAAGCACAGCTGAGTAGTGTGTAGATTTAAGTTACTATTCCATTTCAACTTGGAGAAGAGTCCCTTACTATAGAGAAAAATATCCCACAAAGTGCTGTCAGATCGTAATTTTCCTGGCTTCCTGAACTTTGTCTGGTTCAGCTGCCTTCATAGCACCTCTCATCCCTCTACTGCTTTATGCATGTTTTTCCTGCACAAATGCACTCAGGAATGGTATTCTGGATTTCAAACACTAAATAGAATTTGAAGTTTAAAACACCCAAAGTAGCATGTTTTGGAGGGAGGAAAGCAAGATGCTATAAAGGGAGAGTTGTCTAAATGTCAAGAAAAATGAGCATTTCTATTTGTTGCAGTCAAAAGCAATTTATATTGTTTTTTAAATTCTCAAGAAAACATACAGGTTACTTATTAATTATGGTCAAGGATCTGTGATCTGCTTGCCTGCAAAATATTCATTAAAAAGGGTGCTTTGGGAGTAAAGACTGCTATAATTTATGTAAAAATAAAAAATGCATATCCTTCAGAAATTATATGTGTAGTTACTAGTAACCATGTGATCACCTTTAAAATAGAGTTCATCATAATTCTTTTATTTCCAGATCAATTTAAAAATATTTAAATTACACTTGAATTTAAATTTTTCTCATGTTAGGAAATTGCTTACTTAGATATTTTTACATCAAGTTCATAACCTTCATAAGATTTGCCTTACCAGCTCTCTAAGATAACTAGAACACAGTGTACCACAATCATGAATTGTTGATCAAATCAAAATCTATATAACATTCACCCAGACTAAATCTAAAAATGTTTCTCAATTAATCATATTATTGAGAGGATGTGTTTCTTTTCTTAGATTTTGCTTAAAAACTTACCTCATTAAATAATGAATTACTCATTCTTTTAAGAACAAGACATACCTTCCTCTTTCATTTAGAATATTATAGCAAGGTACATGTAACAACGATCTTCTGTGAGAATGCTCACATAGCATTTGTTTGATATTTATATTCTTTTCTAAGTCTCTGGGTAGATATATGACCTTTTTACAATAATATCTAGCACTATACTAACTTTTTGGCATTTGAGAATTGCCTTCCCTAATGTTTAAACAGAATATTTGTGTTGCAATTTAACTTAAGCACATTTTATTTTCTTCTTATCCTCTCTCAGAAGTCAGAATAATAGGAGCCTGTCTTTTTATGACATCCTTATTACTATTTCCTGAGAATTTATTCTTCCCTGAGTTACCTTTTCTTGACTCTAAGCATGTTCTTTAACAGTTTCCCTTTCCTAACTTTTAATCACTTTCTGCCATTCAAGAGGGTGAACTATCAACTTTTTTTGTTCCCTTTTTGAACTGAGACAGAACAGCTGAGGCTGGGCCCTTAACAGTGTATAATAAAGGGAAGTATAATAATTGCTGATTTTACACATAATGCTCCTAATAATGCAATTCAAATCTCTATTTGCTTTCTTGTTGCCTGTTTCAAAGTATAATCTGTTATCCAAGATATTGGCATTGAGATAGTTATCCTCTATTTTCTACTGTTTCTTCAGAACTCATTATTTGTCTCTATTTAAGTGTCTGTATATATCTTTATTCAACTACATAATTGATGCCAGTCTAATTTTTTCAATTTGTCAAGCTCTTATTATTATTCTTTTCCTGAAATATATTTAATGTTTAATTTCCCAGGCTTTAAATAGCTCATAAATTTGATTAGCTTACTGCGGTCTTTTCAATTCTCTGGTCTAAGCCTTTATTTGAATCCCAAGAATCCCTAACTAGGGTTTTCAAGGCCCAGTTCAAAATTCAATAGCCCAACATGGCTTCAGACACTAATAATGCTCCACTTGGACTGATATTTTTACAGGTTGCACTTTTCTATGAGGCAGCTTAACTAATCCCTGATGTTTATGTGCTTCTAAAGGGTGTTTCAGATAATTACCAAAATCTCCTGTGGTTATAATCTTCTGTCAGATCAGCTAAAGGGAATTAGCTGAGTAGCTGGATATAGTTGGAGGAACAATATTGTCCTAGATCTCTGCTGTGCCTCCTTTGTCTCCATTCCTGCTCAAAGACTTGGAGAAGGACCATTATGGCTGCACTGTGATGGTAAAGTCTGTCCTCTCCAGTTCCCCATTCCCCATTTAAACTTACTGTGGCACTGGGTTGTGGACTTCCTTGCTAGCTGGGATTGAAAGGGCACCAGGAATCCAGGATGTCTCCCCTGTCAGCAGCAGTCACTCTTCCCTATGTCATTCCCCAAAATTGTTTTAGGCATTTTGAGATGCAGACTGAGATTTTGCTCCATACAAGACTTGCTTCAGCTGATCACTCTGGTTCTGCACCCTTTTTTCACAAGGCCCCTGCTTTATACAACAGAATTTTTAGAAAGCGGTGCATCCAGAGAGTGCTGGATCTTTGTTTTCAGCTGGGAATCAAGACCACTTTTTCCATGGAAGATGAAAAGGAGGGAAATCCTCTGCGTCCCCTTTTGGCCTCTATCAGACAGCACAGGAATAAAACCATTGTGTGGGGTTTGGAGGTTAAACTTGGTGTGTGTTTCCAGTGCTTACTTAGCATATCTCTGTAATCCTCCTGACAGTGAGAATATCTCCAAGCAACCTTGATTCCCAGAGTGTCCATTCCTTACAGCTACAGCTGCCAGGAGGGGAGCAGAGCTATTTCTGCTCTGCTTTCTGCCAAAGCTTTGCTGACAGTGGAAAGAGCTGCAGATATTATAGCAAGGGGTAACAATACCAGTGGGTTTACTCTGTGAGCAGCAGTGTAAGGGCTTTCTTTAGTGTCCAAATCCAGATAAGACCATAATGTCTTATTGGACCAGGTAGAGATAATTTATGTTGGTGCTCTCTTAGTTTTGGCAGGGATTTTGAAGCACTTTGGCATTTTCTTCAGCACAGTTTTCCCCTCCACCCTCTATTCACACTGGCAGGGGAGACTTTACAGACTTCCTCTTGATAAAGCCTCCAGTCTTCCCCTCTTTATGCTGTTTTATTAATACTTATTAATAAAGTCTCTTACTAAAGTTACACAAGTTGATTTTTAAGCAAAGCACTCTCTGCTTTGTTCTCTACTCCTTTCCCCAACAAATTATTTATTTTAATTTCTTTAAAGTTTTTTTTCTTGATAAGACTACATTAAATACATTAGGATGACTCTATCCTGCAATATGAAACAGAAAAAAAAGTAGCAGATATTGTCTTAGCTGCTATTTTTTTTTTTTTTTTTGTATTTCTGAATCTCCAGCCTGCCAATATAGGACTAATTTATGAGGCAGAAGACAAGTTAAAAACGTGCTGTGGAACTGAAGTGCATTTGGAGAAAGGAGAGAAACTCAGCTTAGTTACAACACACTTTGTTCAGGTATATTGGTTGTTAAACTGAAGTGACAACTTGTTGGGCTAGCATGAGAGAAAGAGAAGGAGAAAGAGAAGGAGAAAGAGAAGGCTAGGCTAGCTGCAAGCGTTATTCTAAATTTCTGCCTCATTGAAGTAAAATAACAACAAAAATATCAGAAAAATTAAAAATGGTGTATGTATGTGTTTGTATGGTATTTTAATTTTGCTTGTTTGTTGATTTTTTTGTTAGTCATCAGACTTTCTACCAAGAAAATTTAAACTTATTGGGCAAAATTATTTTTATATTAAACAGACAAATCAAAAAGTCTATGAAAAATTCCAAATTGCTGCAAAGAAGTAAAGAAATTTTGCCAGAATGTTTGGCAAGTAAATAATAGAAAGATTTGAGCATAATACAGTGGAAAATGTTACACATGAAATCTGGCTTGGACATTTCTGCAGTATTATTGTGATGGCTCCCAAAGTTTGACAACACTATTAAGGAAAGATAGAAAAATCAATAAAGGCATTGTAAACCACTCTTTTGATCTCACAGTAGCACAAAGATGAATTTTGATTTGCTGTATTCCTACAGTTCTTCTTGGCTATTTCCATATTAGTGCCATACTTCTTTCAGATTTTTGGAAGCTTACTAAGATATTTGCTATACTGCAACTTAGAAAAGCAACAATTTGAGCAGTAGCTAGTTAAAGACTAAACTTATACTTCATTTCAGTGGGATTTTAGGGACCCATCTCAGTAGAAAAACTCAAACTAAACTGTTTTAAAATATATTCTTTTTCCCTGTTAACTTAATCATCCCCTCTAACCACAACTTAGATTTTGCTCTTTCCCCAGTAAGAAGGTGTATCAATAACTACTTTGTATTGGTTACAAATATTATTCTTTGATATAATAGCTAGAAGTGTTGCCAAAATACTGGCATCACTGGAACATTTTGAAAATTATATAACTCCCAGATAGTAGGGAGTATCCTTACTTGTATTTCTGTGGGTGTGCATAAAAAGACCATCAATATTATTTCAGATTTTGAACTCAAATAACTGGGAAAAGGAATATCTTTGCAGACCTGCTTTCTGCTAACAGGTTTGGAAGATTAGTATTTTCCTTGACTCAAGTAAGTTTTCTGTTCATTTTATTGGAAGGAGTGACCTGGTTTTTCCATCAATAATGTAAGAAGTTCTTACATAAGTAAAGAACTAAGTAAGAATTTTCTGTCATTTTTGCGCATGCCATAAGTCAAATTGAGTGAGAGTATTCATCAGTTAAATGTTAGTAGGATAATTAAGAAACATTCCTACTTACATCTCTAATTGGTTATGGACCAACTCAGATCTTTCTGTAAAAATAGCAGTAAAATATGGGGGCTTTTATATATCTATATATATATAGATACAGATATAGATATATTTGGGGGCTTTTATATAAGCTGCTATCTAGTTAGCAGCTTAAGCAGAATGCTTTCTCGCTCTATTTAATTTTTCTCTAATATTTTTTTCCAGCTTTTTAGGTACTACAATGAAGTATTCTTACTGGAAATTTTCATGAGAGGAAAAAACCTTCACCCTTCTAGTATTTGCAACAAGCAAATGTATAAAATGAATATAACCTAGTTGGAGCAATCTTATCAGCAGAAGCCATTTATGTCCACCATATTTTGTGGTAGCATCATTTTTTTTTAGGTGACATAGGAACAGTGAGAATGAAATTAATGACATTCATTCTTTTAATGTGCTAAATTGGTTTGCGCCCATTGGGATGATTATTATGCAGATGAATCCAGGAAAGAAAGACACCATCAGAACATGATTTGGCCTTTATGGCCCTGAGTGGCTTCGCCTGGAACTTCCACCCACACTTAGTGCCCCAGGGCTCCAGCTAAGCCTAGGTTTGAGATTTGTTCCTTTCCTCAGCTGTGTTACTGGAGTGTTAGTTCTTGTTTTTCTCTCTAGCTGCAGGCTCTGAGTAGTTTCTCACCTGAATAGAGTCTAAATATCTGCTTTAGCCTTGTCTCCAGACTAGTAAATTTATTTTTTTTTGTCATTTTTTTTCTCTGGCCTAATAGCCTTTTGTTCTTAGCTAGACCTTGGCCACAGCTCCTTTTGAAGAGCCTGGGGCTGCCAGCAGCACTTGCTGCTGGTGTTGATCCCAGCTCACCTGGCTCAGGTATTGGGGTCTTCACTCTGTTAGGAGGGCCTTGCCATAGCTGGAGGCATCTTCCACTCAGGAAAAGTCTGTCCTTGCCTCTCCCCCAGAGACAGCAATTATCTGACTGGTGTTCCAGGAAAAAATGATGTTATTTTCATTCAGAAAAAGAGTTTTTGAGAGTAGGAGCTTGGCAAATGAACTCATTGAATAGGCCTGGGCACCAGTAAACCTTCTGGGCTCCTTAATTCAAGAGGAATAGTTGGCTTTTCATGCTTATATGGATACAAGTCAGAAAACCATTTTAGCATTTAACTAACAAATTGCATGTTATAAAACTATGTTTACAACTTAAAAGAGAGGCATTTAAATTTTTTCAGTTACCATTGGGTTTGTCTTCATCATGCAGCCTGGGTCAGCGTAATAAAGTAAATTCTGTGAGTGGAATCTGATGCAAAGTGTTTGTTTAATTAAAAACAATATGCTTTTAAGATTTGTGACCAGCAGATTTAACTTGTGGGTTCAGATTTGTAGTTTGTAACAGGAATTTTACATGAGCACAAGAAAATTGAATTCTCTCTCTGTATAGGATGCACCTCAGTGGGAGGCTCTTTTCTGCATTTGTCTGGGGCAGATTTTGTCTATAAAACTATTCCAAGACATTTCCCAGCAACTATACTGGCACACTCTTTGACTGTGTTGTAGTTCATCACTCTACAGAGCATAAGAAACAGAACAACAGCAGGAATTTAGAAGCACTGAATCCTTGGTGACTGATTTTACTTGTGTTTTGTTCCTGTTCAGTGGCTGGTGGACTTGCACTGGAGATACAACATCAGTAATAAATTTGCAGTCTTGTAAAAACAGTTTCAATGACAAAATTTGCTTGTTTGAGTTTGACTAATTGAGAAATCTGTCATCCCTATTGAACCATATCCCATAGCCCTCTAATCTACCCAGTCAAGTCTGAAACAGACTATTTAAGAATTATTGAACAGAACAAAACTGGAAAAAGGATAAGAGATTAATAAGGTCACAAAAAAAACCTATTTATTTTGAGACACAAATTTACAAAATCTTGCCTGTAGATTCAACTTTGGCCCAGTGAATAATGTTATTGAATTCCACTAATTGTCTTAAGACATGGAGAGCTAAGCATGTAATGTGCCCCTGCAGGATCAGGATTTACTTCAGGCTACAATTCTACATTTCAAAATAGTATATGAACTCTCTTTTAAAAACTTGCAGTAATATTAAATTGTTGAGTTTCAAGAGAAGGTTATCAAACCCTCATTTCTCCCCTTGGTCTTGATATTAAGGGACCCCAACATTACACTTCAGTCTGAAAAAAATATATATATTTTTAAAGTGGAGGTGATCCATGAGACCTGGTCTGAGACCTCCAAAGAAAATAACAATTTTAGATAACTTGAATTTTGTTCATAGAAATTTTCATCTCAGCTGAACTTTCATAGTTCGTATCTACAAAGCAGTCACTTGCAGGTTTGACAAAGAAAGAAAAATAAATAATGATTGTAAGAACTTGAGACACAGAAATTAAATTATTTTACTGAAAGAAGGCAGTAAGCAAAGGGCAGAACTGTATGAGGAATGAGGTTAGTTTCTCAGTACAACAGATTGCACTTCAATTTGAATTAAGAATAGTTTGTGTCTTCAGTTAGTACTTTCTTATTTGATTCATGAATCTTGCTGAGAATTTTATTGTTTTAGAAATGTATATATTTTTATTTACTGGGTCTCTAATATCAGTTATTTCATATTTATATGTGTATTAGACAAGAAATAGCCCTAAAAATGTGATAGAGGTCAACAGGCATGCCCCACTAAAACTTCCTGATAACAGTAGGATATTTCAGTAAATTTATATTTTTTTAATAACCTGGTTTGGGTAACAATAGAATAAATTAATTATTCCCTTCTTCTAAGAGCTTTAAGTGCACTCGTGTATCCTGATAAAATGTGTTTCTTCCATGAAGAGTTGTTTTCTCTCTGACAACATGATTCCACTAATTTCAAATTAGTTCCTCTGTTTTCAGAATGTAAATTATACCAAATTGTAGTATATATTTCTAAATTATATTCCATTTCAGAATGGAATTATACTTAAGATTTTGGGAGGGATACGTCATTGAAAAACAAATCTGTTTAATATCCTTTTGCCATTGTTCATTAAATATGATGCTTTTATTAAACATTTAACCATTAATAAAGTGTATTGAAACAGCAATATAAAACAAAAAAATCTGCAGTAATACACTTCAGATCATGTGGTCTTTAATCAGAAATATCATATTTATTATTGTTTCCAACTGTGTTGAAAACATTGTAATTTAATGGTTAGAACTTGTTCAAAGCTGGCCTAAGCATATCCTGAAACAGAAAATGAGAAGCCTAAATTACCTTCTGTGATGTATTTCTGCTGGAAATAACAAAGATGTTTTTGTCTGCCTTGGAGGCACTTAAATGTATGAGAACCTGAATCAAAATATTCTTAGTACACACTAGCATTGTCTAAAATAAATCATATTACCAGTTGTATGTCTAGGGAAACTGTGGTTTTAAACAGCTAAAGAGGAAAATGAATTATCTTACTTCAAATGTTGAGGTGCAGTATAACAAAACTTTGTTGCTCAAGAGCTCTTCCTACTAACCTTACATATGATTAAAGCTGACAGTTGATTCTTTTTTTTTCTTCAAATCCTATTAAATCTTTTTTGTCCCTGAAAGAGCAAATTTTCCAGGAAGCTTAGAAAAGAGGCTATTTTTCCATTGCTCTTCTATTATTTGGAAATTTAGAAAGTCCATTTTAAATAAAACTCAAAAGGAAGCCTTTCTCTTACAAAATGTTACGACTTAAACAGAAACTATGACTCTGTTCCTCACCATCCATCTCCTTTATTAAACAGTTTGGCCTCCTACAAAAATTACATATAAAAAATTATGAAAATTACATCTCTATCACTTTAGAAAGTTTCCCTGAAAAGTGAGATTATTTATCATTTTCCTTTTAAAATGCCCTTTTCCTGCCAAAGTGCCAAAGGAACATGCAGTGCAGCTCAAATATGTTCTCACTATTTATGGTTTGCCTTATGAGGCATTTTGGAGGACTTCTGTCACCAGAGAAAGCCAAAGGGAGGGAAAGTCCAGCAACACAGTGGAGTTCCTCTAATGTACAGCAGAAATACTGGGGGGAGAATGTCACTAAGGAGTCACAGGAACATAGAGCTTACCAAAACGTCTCTTGCCATAGCCTGCTACTTCTATAGAGGCTTGGCAATGTCCTTTCTTGATGGACTGATGGAAAAAATATATTTTACAGAGATCTGGACTTATTGGACAAGCAATTCAATAGATATGATTACATTTCAGTAAGGCGCACGAGTGCCATTTTCAGTAGTTTGATATTTTTCCCATTCCTATTGCCTTAACATCTTAAACACAGATTGTTTTGATGCCTTAAATTTTAGCGCTCATATTTTTCAGAATCTGTGCTGCATCAGTATATAACTCTGAACTTATACAAAGTGTTAGCAAGTTCTTTTCACAGTTAATTTGACAAAAAAATCCTTTTCCAGCCTGTGAAACAAGGACACCATTACAACTTCAGGCCTCAAAAAGTATAATCAAAAACAAACTAGGGGGAGTAAAACCAGGAGGATGGGACTTCATCACCTGAAGCTGTAATTGAACAATTAATCTCAATATACAAATGGACCAAAACATATAAAAATGTGAAAAATTCATGACCCATTTTCCATCTTGGGTGTAGCCTCTACCAGGCTCCTGTACTGCTCAAGGTGTATCCTTTGAATGCCTTTTTAATAAATACCTACTTTATTTCTTTTACACTGTCTAGCCTCTGTTCTAGGTAGCTCCTCTAGGCATCAGTTTTGTCTGGTCAAGTGTGGTCACTGTGTGTCAGTGACACCTGATCTGGAAATCTTACCTGACAATTTGTAGCAGAATCTGTATTCTGTTCCAGGGCCAGCACTCTGTAGATCGGTACAAAAGAAGAAAATGAGCATGAGCTTTCTTTATCGAGGCTAATGGAAATATAAAATGGAAGCATCTTTGGACTAGAACTGAAAGAAAAGCACAAAAGCAAATGTATTTAAAGAGTAATATGCTGCAATTACTAAATTACAACTTGAAGGATTAAGTCAAAAGATTTTACTATACTTGCTTAGGGTTTCTCACTGGGTTAACTATCACATTTTAAAAAAAAAAAGCTGTCTCTTTAAGATATTAAGCCATCTCTTAAAGATAGAGGCTATATTTTCTGATGTTTTATCTCCATTTTCTGTTCTTTTCCAGCTATCACTGGTGGGCTGGCTAGTTGATGATTACAGATCCATTACTCATTGTTGATCATATTTTCCTGTGAAACCACTCTTTACCAGACTACTGTCACTTCAGCTGAAGGTTTTATCTGCATTTGCTTTTCCAAAGAAGACAACAAAAAGCATGGCTGAGATTAATCTTAGATGTTTATGAACCTTCCTGGTCTTAGTGTGTACCAAAATATTAGAAAAAATTCTCAAGAGAGGATAAGAAGTATTAAAGAAGGACAAATGAAGAACAAAGGCACAAGCAATCATAAAGCAATATGTATTTGTCAGGCTTTCCTGCTAAGTTACTCTAAATAAATGTCCCATGTTACATCTCAGAGGACGCCGTTATATTTTGTACTTTATCACTACTCCCAATTGTATCTTGAATGAAACAGTTTTTTTTGCAGGTTCTTGGGGATCAGCAGTTAATGACTAATCTCCATCTCTCCATTCCCCAACCACCCCCCTGCCTTTTTTTTTTTTTTTTTTTGTGAAACCAAAAGCATAATAAAGCCTTGTGCTCAGCAGAAATAGACATGAATGAAAACACCCTGTTATTGTAATGTCAAGCACCCAGGAGGAAGGTCAAGACTGATGATAGGAGGAACTCTGACATGAGAGAGGATTATTCTGCCTCTTCACAAACACTTTGATACCAGAGAATGACCATAAGTAAAATGCAAATTCATAGCTGTGGATATTAATGTGGATTCAAATTTCTACTGACACAAGCAATAAAATGGAATTTTGAATATACACTGCATTTATTTTCATGCTCAGGTTAGATTTTTGTGACCAAGTTGCCAAGTTAACTATTGAAATTAATGATTGGAATAGTCTCAAGTGATAAATATGCTAGAGAAAATGTGGTCTTCTTTAGGGACTCTCTGCAATCAGAGAGACAGACAGTAATTTGTCCAATTATGCTCCTTACTCCAATACTGGCTATTGGTATACCTGAGTCAGGGGCAAGGAATTTTGGTTCTCCATGTGCTTCCTGGCTGAAAGTGCCTGCAGCAGGGATACCTGTGCTTCACTTGATGCCAGCCTCACCATGAGGCCTTAGGGACCCAATAATAATAATTTTCTACCTGATGGAGAACCCCATGAAAAAACAACACGGCACAGAGGAATAGAGGCAGCAGGATTAAATATACTACCCAGGAGATCTTGTAAGAAAAATGAGGAAATCACATGTAAATCCTATGTGATAACACAGGAGTCATCATAATGGTTCATTGGAAAGTCATTTGCCTTCATCTTTCTTCTACCTCTTTATGTCTTCTCCTGGGAGGCCACACCAGGACGACACCACACTTTTCAAATTTAGACTGTATTTAATGTAAGTTAAATTATGGCTTATATGTCATCTTTATCTGGCTGCCCATAAGATTATTATTGTAAAACAAAATTCTCCCAGCGTTTCATACAGCACATCCTGTCCTTGATTGATTTACTGGCATCAGTACCAGCTGCTGAACTCTGTCTAGATCACTACTGTCAGAGGCTGGGTCTACACAAAGACTCTGAAAGCTGTCATGGGCAACTTTTAATTTTACAATAATAGGAGAAAAATCTTTACAAATCTGAATGAGACTGTTTTCTTCTCCTCTCTTCTTCCTTATTTTGTACAAAGAGGTCTTAACACTTCACAAGAACTCATGTGGAGGTAATGGTAATAGAAATAAATAAGGGTCAGTCTGGTCATCAGAGCTGAAAGAACATGCAAGAATTCTAACTGGTTGACATGTACAACATATCAAAATAGAGACAAATTGAGGTGGTCTTTATCATACATCATTTGCATGGCTGCTTTTTTTCCACATTGAGAAAAGATAGAAGATAGAAAATACTAACAGTTCTTCCCATTATAAAAATCACAGACAGCCCTCTGGTGATGTAAGTCTCTAAAATAGTTATAATTATTGATAATTAAAATAATTTTCTATTAATTTGCCTCTCAATTTCTAACAGTCAGGAATTGATTACTTCCTAAAAAATAAAAAGTCATAACTGCTTTATTTTTTCCTTTTTGTGTGCCATTCTGAAATATTTAGAAAGTATAAATTAAAACAAAATATCATCATAAATATTAAAGTAATTTCAAAGATCAACAACATCATGTCACCAACCTGAGTGGAAAAAAATATTTCTTTAGTAAAAACTTCCACCAGATATCTGGTAATATCCTAATCTTAATCTTTACACATCTCTGGCTGTCCAAGATTAATTTCCATTTGTATTTGCTTTTGTGTTTGAATTGTGGTGCTTAATTTGATTAAATTTTAGCCCTTTCTTACGTTTGTAAAAATGTATTAAGAATAAATACAAATAATAATGTGGTGTCATTACAGTATTTCTATAAACATAAGTTTTCGAAGTGAGTTTTAACTTCACTAACTTTAGATGAATAAATCAAACTATAAAAGCATTGCTTTTTAGTAATACCTCAACCCATGAAAAATATCTTGTAAGGTAAGATAAGTCTCAGGGATAGTCAGCTTAATAAGATGTCATTTACTAAGTGGAGTAATAAAGGTGAGGTGACATACCAAAGAAACTACACTGTTGATGTTAACAACTTATTTGGGAATGTTCTGAAATCAGAATATCTGTCACTTCCAGGATGCTGTGGTCCAGGATGGATGGAGCTCTGAACAACCTGTTCTAGTGGATGATCCCTGTCAGTAGCAGGGTTCATGGAACTCTATGGTCTTTAAGGTCACTTCCAACACAAACCATTCTATGATTCAATGCCTCAATGATACTGATTCTTTTTTATTTTGTTATCATGTCAAGCCTCAGTCCTTGGCTTAGTAATACCTCAACCCACGAAAAATGTCTTGTAAGGTGAGATAATTCTCAGGGATAGTCAGCTTAATAAGATGTCATTTACTAAGTGGAGTAATAAAGGTGAGGTGACATACCAAAGAAACTACACTGTTGATGTTAACAACTTATTTGGGAATGTTCTGAAATCAGAATATCTGTCACTTCCAGGATGCTGTGGTCCAGGATGGATGGAGCTCTGAGCAACCTGTTCTAGTGGATGGTCCCTGGCCATGGCAGGGTTTTGGAACTCTTCCAACACAAACCATTCTATGATTCAATGCCTCAATGATACTGATTTTTTTTTATTTTGTTATCATGTCAAGCCTCGGTCCCTGGAAATTTGAAGCTTATAAATGATGTGTTAAATTTCAAACACTGCCTAAATTTAAACCAAAATGCTGGTAAACAATCTCCAAGACAAATGCAAGCCCCATTAATTAAATTTTTGATTGAATTCCACAGAATGGATTTTGATACATTTCTGAAGGTTGTCAATGATGAAAAAATTGAGGAGGCACTGCTTAAAGCTGCCACAGCAGATACCACCTGTGGCAACTTGTGTTTTAATTGACAAAGGTTTAGTATTTACTGAAGAACACTGAGACATACTACTGTCCTCTGATACCAGAGAAGTTCTCCAGGAAACATGTTTTGCTCTGATTTTGAATGCCTGTGTCAAAATACAAACATCCAAATGCAAATGACATTGCAATTGCTGGATTTCAATGATGTTTCTGTCAGGAAAAGCAGGGTAAGAATGTGTATCCATATATTTATTCATTACTTTTTCTCAGAATATTCTCCAACATCAAGCAACACTTGGTCAAGAACTTCCTGAGCAAGAAGTGGTGTTTTTTTAAGAACTATGTAAAGGTGGTTTTTCAAATGTATATAAGAATATGAAGACACATAAAATGTAAAGTGAGAGAGATTTAAAGATATTTAAAGCTTGCACCATTTCTAGTTTTATAAATGCTTTGAAGTTACAGCGGTGTGCATCTAAATCTGAGACAACATCTTTAATTGTCTAACTAATGACAGAGAAGCGTGGGACAATTACAAAAATAGAACTCTAATTTAGGCAGAGTCACAGCCTCTTTGCCAGCTTCTCTATCAAAGGTAGTTTTTCCCCCTTTTTCAGTGAAACAGAAGCAATCATCAGCCCAAGAGATTCTACTGAAGCAGGTGCCTGCACATTTATACCACCTGCCCCCATAATTTCTCTGAAGTGTGTACCACCTGTAAAGTTCTTTCAAAATGTGTTCAGTTTTTATATTGTTATTTGCCCTAATGAGATATAAAGCATTTTCCAAATTACCCTACTGTTTGGTTTGGGATTTTTCCCACAGAAACACAGCTGGCTTTGGAGATGTTAAACATTCTTTTGGCAGCAAGTAACAGGAGTTGGACAAGTAAGAACTGTGTCCAGTCTACAATAAGAAAAGAAGAATAAGCACTAAGATGTAAATTTAGTCAAGGTATTTGGACTAAGGTACTACTAATAAGAAAAATGCTCTGAATTTTTGGAGGACCAAGCAAATAGTAGCACTTACTTACAGATACCTTCCAGCTGTGCTTCTGCAGAAAAGACTAACTGTCTTTCTTGCCAACCAGTTTTTAGTACAGAGGAAGAAATTAAAGTCATCCTTAGGTCATCTTTGCTGGCTTAAGTAAAATTCAAAGAGATAAAGTTTGACTTGTTTTCAATTAAAAAAAATAAACCAAAATATACTTTAAAATTAATTATTCAACTTAGAATTTATAAAGGAAAATTTTTATATATGAGAAAAACATATTTATTATTCGAATTTTTCTTGACGTCAGGTGAGACTGTTTGAAAACTGTTGGTTACAGTAAAAAAATGCAGAATCTAGACTACACTGATAGACTATTTAATTGAAAATATACTAGGAGAGAAAAAAATGTGATTCTATAGACTTTAAACTGGTCAATGAATACTTTTAGGGCTTTTATCTAAAGTAAAAATGTGTGAAGTTCAATAGCTGAATCTGAAATTCCTGTAAGGACTCAGAATAAAAAAAATATTCTAAAGTCACGATAGTTTCTTAATCCTTCAACTACATATGTTATTATGTTATATATAATTTTATATACAGAATATATTATACATAAATATATATAATATCACCAACACTATATATTCTGATTAAACTGTTTTAATGTATTTAATCAAAACGGGTTTTTGTGATACTTTTTTCTTACATTGCTGTCTTTTGAAGACAAATTAGTACAGAATAATTTAAAAATCAGCATTTTTGGCAGAATAGAAAGGTGCACATTTGTTGTGTCCTGTTGCATACATTTCTGTCGGCAGACTGTGGCTTGATGGAGAATCTAAACAATGAAGATGGGATTTTTTTAAAACAGACTTTGGTTTCCACCACTTCCCACTGAATTTTGACTGCATTCTGGGTACTTGCTCTGCATCTACCATATCAGTTTCCTGCTCATGCCACACTTCTGCTGTACCAGGTACCAGAAGCACTACAGAGTTTTTGCCTACCACTGGCTTTCCATGATGAAAACTCCAGGAGAAAAAAGCATGGATCAGTTTGTACATAACAGATCCATTTGCAGTTGTCTGGTTACTCCACATTTTTCTTGTTCCTGAAAGAGAAAGAAATCTATTTAAGGGAGTGGGCTGGCAAATTTGGGGTTCAGTTCCTGTCAAGGTGTTGGGAACACTGTCCAAAAAACTCAACCATGCAGGGTTGCACCACTTGAGTGCCCCTGAATACTCTTTGCTTGAAGGAAAACTTATACACACATTAAAAAATTAAGAATTTTATGCATAAAAATCTTGGGAATCAATTTCCATATACCGTCCCACTGAGCAATGTGTCATTACTGAATTCTCATAAAGATACATGCTGAGCTATTTACAGGATGAACCACAGTAATTAGCTCTATCTGTTGTAATTAGAAGTCAGTCAGTATGTCATCTGAGATAATTATGTTGCAATACAGATAATTTTCCTGAACAGTAGATACTGCATGGAATTATTTGTCTACTAGTATGGTGATACCTCTCCAGATAAAAATTTCAATGATTGCTGGGAGAATAAGATGTTGCAATGACTGATAAAAACTTCATTAAATTGAGTTAATTTTGACATTGTTTTTATTATTTATATGATTGTAATAATACTACCTTTTATGTTTTTTATGGTTTTGTTAAAGAAACACAGTTGCAGTATTTAAGCAATAAGAAGAAAATTAATGTCTTTGTAGAAATAGAACAAGCTTGACTTTTTTCAAATTTCTTATTTCAGATAACAAACTTTGTTTGTTGTAGTACTAGGAAACACTATCATGGAAAACCAATTTGAAAATCAGATTGTTTGCATGGTTTTTTTTTGCTTAGCAGTAACACTTAATAGTTTTCATAGGTCCATGTTGAAGGACTAATAAAGAGTTTGCATGTAATATGATTTTATTAGACCTCTAATCACTAAAACAGTTATTTGCATGAAAGTCACATAAATGATTGTTGTGGGTTAACCCTGACTGGACACCAGACATGCACCAAAGCATCTCCATCACTCCCCTGCACAGCCGGACAGAGGAGAGAAGAAAATATAACAAAGGGTTTATGGGCTGAGATAAGGACAGAGAGAGATCACTCACCAGATACCATCACAGGCAAAACAGGCCTAATTAATTGAATTTATTGCTAACAAAATCAGAGCAGAATAATGAGAAGTAAAAAGAGACTTTAAAAGCTTCTTTCTCCCCGCCCCTTCCTTCTGCCCAGCTATATGTCCTACCCCAGTGGTGCAGGGGGGTGGGATGGGGGATTTGGTCGGTTCACCACCCCTGGTTTCTCTCCCTGCTCAGGGAGAGAAGTCCATTCCCTGATCCTCTACAGAGTCCCTCCCATGGGAGATAGTTCTCCAGGATCTTCTCCAATGTAAGTCCCAAGAGTAACAATTCTCTGCAAACTGCTGCAATGCGGGTCGCTCTTCCACAGGGTATCTCTAAACTGCTGCAATGCGGGTTGCTCTTCCACAGGGTACAGTCCTTCAGGGACAGGCTGCTCCAGTGTGGGTCCCCCATGGGGTCACAAGTCCTACCAGGAATCCCACTGCAGTGTGAGCTCCTCTCCCCACGGGTCTGCAGGCTCTGTCGGGAGCCTGTTCCACCACAGGCCTCCCACCGAACCACAGCCTCCTCCCAGGCAACCTGCTCCAGTGTGGGTCTCCTCCTTGGGCTCCAGGTGAATCTCTGCATTCCCAGGGTTCTTCATGGGCTGCAGGGGCCCAGCTTCCTCCCATGGTCTGCACCCCGAGCCGCAGAGGAATCTCACCTCTGGCACCCAAAGCACCTCCTCCCCTGCCTTCTCCACTGACCTGGATGTCTCCAGAGCAGTTCCTCTTCCATGTTCTCACCTTGCTTTTCTTTGGCCACAGTTACAATTGTGCAACAACATTTTTTTTTTCTTCTCAAATCCGTTATCTCAGAGGTGTTACCACCCTTTCTAATCGTCCCAGCCTTGACCAGCAGCACATTCATCCTGGAGCCACCAGGGATTGATTCTGCTGGACATGGATATCATGAGGACACTTTGAGCTGGAAGAAGGATTGTCTCATGAGAAAATTCTCATCTGTGGTCTCCCTTGTGGGCTTTGACTTAGGCTCAGCCTACTAACAGAGTTAATGCAGAAATAGTTCTGCTTTTATTCATCTGGGCTGTCAAATCCCTGGCTGATGGTGGCAGCCTTGTTTGGAACATGGTTTATTTTCATTGAGGCTCTCCCTGGCTACTCTGAATTAGGAGTTCCTGGTTCCAAAGCCAAAAGTCTTTTCCTCCTGCCAGCAGTCAGTGCTTTAAATTAAACATTTCTGGTTTGATTTCCAGCTGGTGAAGACAGACACCTGTGGCACAGTTCAACACTTAAAAATAAGACAATTATTGCAGCAGCAGGGTGTCACAGCCCAGCTGAATTAGATGCCTGTGTCTGTGGCAAATATGAGGCCCTTCTTACAAGGGGCTCAAGGAAACTTGAGGTTGGGACAAGAAACTGCCAAGGTCTCCAATGAATTCATGAAGAAGCAAGCTAAAAGTTGTGTACCTTTGTGTACTTTTGCATTCAGTGATGAGATCTGCAACCAACTGCTTAGCAAGAAAGAAAGCAGCAATTGGCATCTCTTTTTTTAATAGCCAAGCAATGTCCAATGTATGATGGCATGTAACAGGAGGTTCTGTTTTGAAGTGGCCTCTGGCTAGGAAAGCATGAGTCTTCATCCCAGATTCATCCCAGCTTCATCCCATGTATTAGACTGGCCCAAACAAGCAAGATTTTTTTTTTTATTTTAAGACAATTATGTAGACAAGAGGTTTCAATATGACCTCCCTTTAGTTTTAAACACTCTTCTTTAACCAATGAAGAGACACAACTGAGAAAAGACCTAAGTGAAAAGAAGAGTTTAGCAAGAAACAAAAAAGCAACAACCAAGATAACAGTAATGAGCACCAGATACAAAGGTGTTGAATCCCATGGACTCCCTGAGAAGGAAGAAAACAAGATGCTGGTCTCTCTAGAAGCCAAACACAAGATGGTGGACAAGCCTTCTCCAAACTATGTGTGGAGAGAGAAGTGAAAGGAAAAACAAACACCAACAGAGCCTCCACAATTACAGAACCCCCTCTTCACCTAGAAGACAACAGCGATAGAACTGAAAACCTACAATAAATACTTTTTTGTCCAAAAACAAGAGTCAATGCTGCTGGGCTGCCTCTTCCATGTCACCTGACAGGGGGTGGTGGCGGTCCCATTGGCAATAGTGGCTGGAACAGGGGCAACAGCTAAAAAACTTGTAGAAAGAAGAGTCTGACATCTCAGGCTAGCTGTCCCAAGTGGCAGTAGCAAAAAGGTCCAAAGAAACCATCTTCCTCTAGCCCAGGAACAGAGTTGCCATGACAACAGTGGCCGAAAAAAGGTGTTTTGAAATTCTCCAAAGCCCAAAAGAGAGCCTCTGCCTCTCACTGCCTCGGCTTGAAGAACCTGCCGCAGGCAACTATTTTGGTAGCCCAGAGAGAACCTAAAGAGGCTTTGCCTCCACTCTGAAGCCAGGAGGGAACAAAAAGAACTCTCTGTGTGAGTGTTCCCTGTCTCTCAAATGGACTTCAGACCACTCAGTGTGAAAAACCCCAGATCTGCTTCCAGACCCTGGGTCTCAATGGGACAGTGATAATTTTGAGCAGGTTGGCACAAACATGTGGAATACAATACATATTTTTTATGGGTTATCCAGGACAAAGATTCAAAAGGCTAGAAGAAGCCAGAGAAGAAAATGTAAATATCTCCCTTTTGGGCAGAGCTTTGAACAGGAAATATGAACTTTTCTTCCCACTCCATTTGTCTCTATGCATTTTTATCCAGGTTCAGTGTCATTTTAAACGTGCTCCCACTATAGCTTGGACATTGTGACACCTCTCTGTGGTAGGAGAGGTTCAGATCCAAAACTAATATGCTTTGGATACTGAAGACTTCTCCATGAGTCTATTGTGAAATAAGGTGAGAAACTTTCTGTGCTTCATCAGTCATGGCTTGAAAAAAATGATTATTCTCTGCGTCTTATGGGAAATTTGGATTTAGGTGTGTCTCTGCACAAGACTGAATTGCTGCAAAGCTTAGAACCAGTCAAACTTGAAGAATTCTATGTGACAGAGCCAAGCTCTAATAAACAATCTTTATGTTGATGAACTCAGCCAAGAGTAGTAGAGCATGAAAGGGGATGTTGAGTACCTAGCAGAAAGGTAATACTGCCTTTAAGTAGAATTATTTCTGTAGCAGGAAAAAGTTTTTAAAAATCTGTTCCATTAACAAGAAGGAACATACACTGGGGAATTTTATCTGTGTCTTCTGGAATGGGGTTTTTGCAATGTGATATTAATGGACACAGAGTCATATATCCCATAGGCCTGCTTTTAGCTTTTAAATGCACTTTTGTAAGACCATGGAGAAACCAAATTATTTTTAAAACTACCTAGAATAAGCTATAAATCACATAATATCCTTATTACACTGTTTAGCTGATCAACTTTATGGATAAGCTGCTCTCAGTTTGGCCTAAAATAAAAACTGATAACTATTTTGGTTAAAAGAAAAAAGTAAAAAAAAAGGTGGGGAGATGATATGTAACTTATTGTTAGGTGTGACAGATGGTTCCCAGCTATTCAGCTGTATCCTGTCATCCTGACAGGAATGTATTTTGTGTTAGCCTTGAATTTTCCTCTATGAACCCAGAGAGAATTTCCAGTAAAATCACAGCCTACTAGAGAGCAGATTAACATTTATCTCGTCCCCTGTGTTTAAGTGGCCTTTGAGAAAATTTACCAACCTTGTCTGGATTTCTTTTGGATTCAATTTGTGACAAAATAAACTCAAATTTGTTTAGGATCCTCATGAAGAGCCTCACCACATACTGTTATTGTTTTCTCTCCATCACTTTTGAATGTAGTGCTTGATACTGATTAATTGCCTCTCTTTTCTTTTTACCAGGTGCATTTGCCAGGTCTCATAGCTGATAACAGATGCCACTATCTGTGGTTTTTTCAATTTTTTGTGATGCTGAGTTAACTGTTTCTGCTCTAAATCCCTTGTAGCCTAAACCTTAACTCAGAATTTAACAGGGCCTGTGCTGCACACGTGACTGAGGGGCTGGGCCATAAAGGCTCATTTAGGTCATTCCCACTATAGAATATCACTTTTCACCCCACAATAGTGGGATTAATTTAGACTGGATAAGATAAAAATGTTGGGTTGATGCAGGCAGTGTATGGATCAAACTTATTAAATACAATGAAATTGTAGCTGAATTGGCATGATTCCAATCCTCATATATTCACACCACAAACATTTACAGTACTTGCATGGTATTTTTGCTTTGACCTGTTTCCTTCAGCGTTATGCTAAGAGTGGGTCTGAAATTGATTCCTGTCAATTTACAGTGTTTCTGGGAGGAAAAATTCCAAATATTTATTAAATATGTACTATTTATTTTCAATTACTGAATAATGTTCATTATTCTGAATCTACAAAATAGGCATAAAATTGAAAATTAATCTTTGGATATTTTATCATAATGTCAAGATACTTTTTAGCACAGAAACATGAACTGGATAATGATGTATGTTTATTGAAAAATTAATTATTCTGAGATTAAAGATTGCAATAGACACACAGGAAAATCATCTGCATTCTCCAAATCCTATCTGTAGCATGTCCTGATGGGATTTCCCCCCCCTATTTTCTCCTTTTCTTTGTTTAAATTAATGCAATGCACTATATTATTGAAAACAATCATTGTAAAAGATGCTAATTTTTCCCCCACCTAGTGTAGTTTCATTTACTGTGTCACTGGCACCAATTTCCCTATTAATGACTCTCAATCTGTTGACCTTGATGAAGATATTGATTGACAAAGTTATTTTCAGGTGTCTAATTTTGTGGCACTAACAGGCTGGAACTTGGTAAACACGTTTTCCCCTTTCCTTTTGTGAGGTATTAGGTAGTTTAAAAAGAAAAGTACTGATCCCCCAAATAATTATATTTCATACATATTCTGTCCTGAAAAGTGGAATTAGAAATACCCTGCCTATCCTTTTAACAACTTCTAGGCGAATCTACCCCGTTTACAGGGAAGGAGGTTTCAGTTATTATTTGTAAATGTGATGCCTGGGATTTGGCCTGCAGTCTGAATCCAGGCTCAGGAACGAAAGACATTTTGCCATGGAAGCTTAAAACAGCATCTCAGTCCTTTGATATCCACTTCTCCAAACTTCTGCAAGACTTGTATGCCCAATTCATTTTGGTTCTTTGAAAGCCACCAGCTGTAATGATTAAACTAATGCTATGAATGATATGGCTACTAAAGTAGATTCCTCCCAGAGATGCTTTGCCAATTCAGGGCTAACAAAAATGATATTTAGTATGTTTGGTTAGGTCAGCTGGGCTATGGTAAAAAAAAAAATTTACAAAAGTGTCATTTGATGAACAGGCTGTTTGGTTCTTTTGGGGTTTAGGTTTTGTTTGGGTTTTTATTGGGGTGAGTGTGTTGTTGATTTCTTGCTCGTGTTGTGTTTTGGTTTTTGTGTCATTCTGGTTTGTTGCTTTCTTTTTTTTTCTTTTTTAAGAGATCCCTATCACAGGAATTATTAATTGAAAATAGTGCTAGAGGTGGCTCTGTGGTATTTCCCCTGAGTGAGGAATCAAGATAAATTTATCAAGCTTTGTGAGAACAGGATTTGGGGACAGTGGCTGTTTCAAATATGAGTTGTTCTCTTGTTGCTTCTGGGAGAAGGGGGAGAGCTTTTGAAATCCTACCTGGTAAAAAGCACAATTTTAAAATTATATTATCTCAAACATTGAATGTATTTTCTGAAGAGATAACGAAGTTCATCATTGTCTCACTTGTGGTTACAGAATTTACCCCAGTGTATCCCCAAGACTTATTTTAAACCTTTTTTCACTTCCCACATTTTTATTCAGTGGAGTGAGGCTGCAAAAAATTAAGAATGGAATATACCCCATTCTGATGTTGATAAAAACCAGACACTTTTTTTTTTTTTACACCTCTTTCCAACTGTATGTATGTTTCTCTTCACATTGAATAAATTGTTTAAACTCTGTAGATGCTCTGAGAACAGTCAGATGCAGGGAGAAGACAATGGAGGGGATGGAGATATTTCTGTTTCATGTCAGAAAATGCCAGAGTTTCTGTAGAAAATGTAAATATGGGAGGGGGTTAGAATATCCCATCCCAGCAGTTGCTTGTAACCTTACCTAAATTTTTATGGTTAGATTTGTTGAAAATTCATCAGAAAGTAAGTACCAAAAATTATTGCTTTAGCCAAGACACCACAAAGATTCAGAAATATCAAAATATTGGAAGATTTGTCAGGGATCCAGTATTCAAAGTTCAAATGCAAATTCAAATGACTGAGAGCTCCATGGACTCTGTCAAGAGGGGACTTGGCATTTTTTGGCCTGTAAAGAGAGTTATGACATTAGTTGCCTGAATGAATGCCCATGTGGGGTTTAGATATACTATTTCTTAACAATTAAGCTGTACAGTTCATACTCAACATTTTGAGATCTGGTATGGGTCTTTCCCTCACAAGCTGAAGAATTCTGGCAAGTCTGAAAATATTTTCTTGCTCTAGAAGTATTATAATTTTCCCTCAAAAGTGAAATTACCTGCTGTCTCATTAGGAGTTAGGTGTCTCTGGAAGTTATGCAAATGTATTCGTCATCTACAACAAGGAACTTACAGTATAAAACCAGGCCATGCAACTGCTTTCTTTCAAGAGTCTGAATCAAAAGTCTGGGCACCAAAATTTGCATTTGATCTCCACAAATCAGAATCACATCTGTCTCCAACCTTTGCTAGTTGCCAGCAGGGTAACTCACTTAAGGTCTGACAGGGTAAAATTTGAATTAGCTCTAGCTTCTTGATGTCTCTCCACTGCCATTTGTCATTCCTGCATAGTTCTGATATCCTCTGAGGAATGTCAAAATCCAGTGGACCTTAGAGACAGTCATGAATCCACATATGACATTTTACTCAACATGGTTTTTAAGTTCCTAATAAGAATTTCAACCCAACAGATTCTGACCAGAGAGAATAAAAAAAAACATTAGAAGTAATTAACCTATTGTTTTTGTTTGAATCAAAGCTTTTATAAAGAAAAAGAAAGTTCTTCACTCCAATAGGATTAACAAATATGATAAATATAAGATAGTTGAGACTGTTATGGGAACAGAAATCAAGAGGCCAACAGAAGGAGAAACATACAGACATTGAGGTGAAAGAATGAAGAAACAAACTCCTAGGCACATTTTGAAGTACTTATATTTTTAACAGATATTTCCCAGATATACTGCATGTTATATGACTGAACAATTTTTATTTTGACTGCTGATCATTGCAGCGGCATGTTCAGTTTTATACCACAATCAGGTAATCCAAAGTCAGATGCACTAGCATGAATAATGACACATAAAGCCTGTTAATATATCAATTATTATAGTGCCTCAGACTGTGAAACTTTACACAGAATTAATTATCACCATGTTAATGAGTGGTGTAATGACAAATACAGAGTGGGTAATTTCATTTGTTCAGTACATTTGAGGAGTGAGGTATTCATTATAATGTTAAAATTAGGAGTGAATAACCTCAATTCTCCCACAGTTTTTAACATTCACACTATTAATGCTAGCGCCTGCACTGCACTGTGAGGCAAACAAGTTGCTCATTAACAGAAATTAGCTGTGTCTCTGTTCCATTTTGTCTTGAGGTGTCTGAGAATACTGCCATTGTTTTCTGCCATTTTTGTATGGAGGAAGAAATTTTTCATTGCCTAAATATTTGAGAAAAAAACTCAGAGTGGAATCTTCACAGTTTCTTGACTCCCTTCAATCTTTGATGCTTACAAACCATCACACCTAGGAAAAAAATAACAACCTGACTCTAGAAAAGCTTTATATTCAGTAGCCATGGGCCTGCTGCTCTAATTATTGTTTTCAGTACCCAAAATCCAGTTTACAAAGTCAGCTCCAGCAGATTACAGGCAGTAGAGCCTGAGTAATGAGAAGGTAAAGCAACATTTCATGGCAACCCAAAGATAGATCTGACTTCATATTAATACACTCACTTTTGAACACCATGTTTGGTATTTAGCAAGGCCAGACCAAGAAAACAAAGGCTAGAACTGATGGGGCTGGGATCTGAGAGTCCCATTGGGAATGAGCACCTCAGGTGTCATGAAGGAAGGGATAATCTGAAATAAGATTTGTTCTTTGAAAACAAAGTGCAAATGGAGCTCTCCCTGAGCTGGTTGCTCAGCCCTTGCCCTGGTTCTCTGCTCCATCTTGAGTCTCCTTGTTTTCTCAAACTGTTTAATTCTCATGCTTTGTACCTTGTTTCACAGCCAGTATGTGTACTCTATGTTTACTACATATCTAATTTTGGTGACTGAATGCAAAAATGAATGCATGAATGAACATGCTGCATAAGCTTCTCCTCAGAAAATACTTTTTCAGCATTTCAGCTGCTTCCTCGCAATATAAACTTTTATTGTTTGTTATTATACATTTTATAAACTCTCATGCTTTTCCACATTGGCTTACATATCAGTATTCCACTCTGGGGAACTTTTTGTGGAACTTTTTATGAATAACACTAACTTAGCTGTTGTGTCTACTTCTACATATAACTCTGATTTGCTTATTATTAGTAGGCAGACTCTAGCCCTTTGTGTATTTTGTTGCTTAATTTTGTTTCACACCTGAGACATTTTGAGAGTCGTTAAACCATGACTGTTCTGCATGATCCCTTCCCAGGATGACTTATTACAGTGAAACTTTTCAGTCATAACCAGCACTTTAGAAGGCATATTTGCTATAATTTCACTGCAGTCCTTTAAATGATTATGCAACTGATAATCTGATACTGTCAACAGGTCATTTCCCTAAATAGATTTGAGTTTATAACATATAAAATCAAACACCATGTTTCATTTGTTTTTCTGCCTGATTGATGTTCCCCATGTAGCTTGAATATGTGCACCTGGATGGTGGTGCTTAAACCTGTTCTTGACAGCAATTTTATACATCTGACTTTCAAAGACATTGTTAAGAATACTTCAGCATTAATTTAACAATGAGGAAAAAAGGAACTCTAGGAATGGCAGGGCCAGTGAACATTATATTTGTGTTGGCCTGAGATTAATATAAACTTACAGTAGCAGGAGGAAAATCCTGTGGGACCATACTGAATGGAAAAGATTTGTTGAAACCCTCAAAGGCAAAAAGACTCCACAGTGAGACCTGGACAAATCCAGGAGTGGGACTGGGCAATCACCAGTCTTATTAAGTTTAACTAAGAAAAGTGCTGTATTCTGCATCTGAGATGGAGCAACCCTGAATATTCAGACTGAAGAATGAGAGGCTGGAAAGCTGTGCTCTGGAGAGGAACCTGAGGGTCCTGGTTGATGGCAAGTTGGGTATGAATCAGAAGTGCCCTGGCAGCCAGGAGGGCCAACCCTGTCCTGGGGGTCATCAGGCACAGCATCACCAGCCAGGCAAGGGAGGGGATTGTCCCCTCTGCTCTGCTCTGGGGAGGTCTCACCTTAAATATTGTGTGCAGTGTTGGACACCAAATTATAAAAAGTGTATTATGACAATAATATCAGAACACTGAATGTGAAGAGTCTGTAGGGGACATATGACTAGTGGCTGGGGTCACTTGGCATGTCCAGCCTGGAGCAGAGGAGATTGAGGGGAGACCTTATAGCAATCTGCACCTTCCTCATGAGGGGAAGTGGAGGATCACATCTTCTTTTTGGTGACCAGTGAAAGGACCCAGCAGAACAACATGAAACTGTGTCAGGGGAGGTTTAGGTTGCATATTAGGAATAATTTCTTCACCAGAAGGGTAGTTGGGCACTGGAACAGGCCCCCCAGGGCAGTGTCACAGCACCAACTAAGTTCAAGAAGTGTTTGGACAATGCTCTCAGGTACATGGTGTGATTCTTGGGATATCCTGTGACAGGACATGAGCTGAACTTCAGTGATCTTGGTGAGTGCCTTCTAGCTCAGGATATTCTACGATTCCATGGTTACAAGGGATAATTTAATCTAAACTGACAATCATAAAAGAAAGAAATCAATTGCTCCATTTAAATATTCCAAATGAAGTCGCTTGCATTTCTCAAAATTAGCAAGTTTTATATGCCTCTACCTTCAAAGAAGCAGAGAAAATCAGAGTAAGGAGCACTGAAGCTGACAACGTTTTTTTTCAGATGACTGTTTTCTGGGGAGCATTATCACCTTCTCCATGTCCCATTCAAACCACCTTTCAGTCCAGCTCTACTCAGTTTAATTATTTGGGAAGAGGTTGTAGCATAACATGAAAAGGGGAACAAAACTATTTCCTCAAGGGTTATGAGAAACAACCACACGGCTGATTGTCTAAACTCAAGGGTGGTGTTACCTTGATATTAATACAATATTAATGAAATGAGTAATTTATACCCTTTGAGAAATGGTTTTGCAACTTCACCTATCTGTACATCTTTTTATATCTACCTATTGAGATATATAGTTAAATAAACATCCAATGAAGGTTTTTATATATCATATAAATATATACCATAATTTTTTTTTTTAAATCTGGGTTGAGGCAGAGGAGCTTAATGCTTAATGAGCAATTATCCTCTTTTTATAGCTCATCTCCAGCACTGTGCTCAGTTTGCTATGCTCAGTCCTCTTTTGGTGTTCTGGACAAATAAAACTTTCCCTGCTTTTTGTAATTAAATCATGAGGTTTATTACTGAACTAGCTTGAATACATTGGTAACAGAGTCAGACACTCTTGTTTCTATAATTGGCAGCATGGCAGAACCTTGATGACAGACAAAAAAGTTACTGAAAAATATGAAAAAGGAAAATGCCAGAAAAAAATATTCCACACATGGTCTAAGCACGTGGAAACACTTGCACATATTTTTGAGATGCACATATCTTTGAGATTCACATAACAAAGGCATTAATAGAAACTATTTGGAAAAATGTCATGCGGTACCAAACAGCTTAGAAAGTGACTTTTTTCTAGAAATCACTGATGTGACACAGTTCACCTGTTAGAATAAGAGAGATATTATATGTATGTGAGTTGAGCAATGGATACTTTTCTGAAGCCTTCTGAGTGAGCTCCATATTATTCAAAACTTCAAATACTCATCCACGTTACCTCTGTTCTTAATGGTACATAGGTCTGGAAATTTAAAATCACACAAGGTCCAACTATAGCTACGCTGTATTTTGCCACAAGATTTTAAGGCATAACGTAGATTCCTTTAATAAAATCTGGCACTTTTCTGGCTTTTTGCTTCCAAATTTCAATCACTATAACATTGTAGAGAAAGAGGAACTTAAGGCAATTCATTAAAACCAAAAGAAGGGATTGCTTCAGAGAGAAATGAGGAAAAAAAAAAAAAACAAACAAAAAAACCTTGTTCTGATAATGTAAAGGAGACATTGAACATTTGTTATGTTGCAGTCCAGTATCACTGTGTGTAAGACTGAGAATGGCTGCTAGGGAACCTAATAGCTGAAACAGCTGTTAAAGAACAATGACATTGCTAATGACTCAAGATATTACACACCAGAAAGTAAGTTCAGACAGGATCAAGTGCAGAAATGAACCACAAGAAATTTTCAAGGAATGGAGATGATTTTGTTAGAGGAGTCCAAGAGAGCCAGGCTGAGGCAGCTGAGCCCAGAGCTGGAAGAAGAGATGTCAGCTTCCAAGGATGCCTGTGGAAGAACAGAGAAGAAAAAAACTTAGTTCTGAACCACTGCACAACGTTGGCATGAAATGAAAAGTGTGCAAGCCACCCACAAGTACAGCACAGCTGTAAATCAGAGCGGCTGTGAATTACCCAAACACTTTTGCTCCTTAGGGTTTCTATCACAAAGCAAGAGCAAGGAATGAGTCTAATCCTCCAAGCCAGTTCCTTCCTTATGTGCATGTTTGCTAGTATTTAGTAACTAAACTTCTGTCCCCCACCCTGCTTTTTTTTAGTATATTGACACCACTGAACGGCACAATGTGGTGGTTCTGCTGTAATGCCATCATTAAGTCATTGCAATCCTGAAAGATCCAAGGAGAAACTATATTCCATTGCATATATCATGAGTCAGGATGTTTTAGTCCAGACTAGACTGAAGTTACAGGCATAATTCTAAAAGCTGTCCCACAGTTTAAAAAAACACAGAGTAGATATAACATACACATCAGACTGGCCCACTGCCTACACTACCAAAGCACTAAGATAATTCAGTGGTTTTTTACACCATTAGTCTCAACAATAAATCTACAGGATTTCTTTTTATTAGAAGTAATATATTTCAGATAGATATTCAGAAAACATTTAAGGCTTTCATTATGTGTGTACAAGAAGCTGGATGCTTTTGTCAACAGTGATAAGTCAAACAGCTTACAGTGAAGCAGCGTGGCAGCGACACAGCTGTACAAAACATTTTGCTGCATGGAAATTTTAACACTTCATAAGCAAAAAATAATGAGACTATTTACAAGAAAAACACTCAAATCCTGGATTGACAAGGCAGCACAAAGTGAAAAATAAAATGCCACTGAAGTAGCAGATAGTGTGGAAAAGGAAGCTGTGTTCTCTGAAGAAAGACTGCAAGCGTGGGGTGTGTGTGTGTGTGTGTGTGTGTGTATGTGTGTGTGTGTGCATATCAATTTCTGAATGATAGAAGTTTCAAATGTCCATCACTCTCTTGGAAACTAAGTTAAATATATTAATTTTTTCTGAATTTCTGGGCTTAATGGTCTTAGTAGGAGAAAAACTACTGTGCAATGGTGTCCATTCTCTTACCAAAAAACCCAAAAAAACCATTTATCACTTCCTGCATGATAAATAGAGATCTTACATTGAGACATCCTTAAGCAATACCTGTTTATCAGAATATATTGTTGATGTTATTACTTATAGTTGAAACATTAATTGTTATTTCCCTTCATCTCTTTCATCAATGTATTCATCCCTTCCACAACTACTTGGACTGCAAGATCTTTGAGACAGAAACTTGAGTTTCTTTATTAGACTGCTGCCAAAGCCAGCAAGACTCCAGTTCTGAAAATGTTACACTGCACAAAACATGCTGGTATCATTAAGGTTCTCCTAAATTTTAGGTAACTCATGTCTCCATCAAGCCCTCGGCTTTAGTATAACATGTATTCTCATAAATATTACTTTCTTTCCAGCATCTCAGAACAACCATGAATTATTTTAACTTAGCTCTTCCCACACTTTTCCCACAATTCATAACCTCACCAAGCAGCATTAGCATCTTACATGGAATAAAACCAGTAACCTACATGTTTGATGAAAGGAAAATTTGTCCTTCGGCTTATTAAAGTAATTTAGTTTGGATCTGCACCAGAAGTAGTATGATCAGAATTTAGCCTGATATACTTATTTGTCAAGGGTATTGTACATTTGGGGACAGGCTATTACAATGCAAAAATAACACAGCCAATACCATTTGGTTTACTTGGCATTTTCCCAGTTAGCATTGATTTTCATGCAGCAGTGGCCAGTTGAAATTGCTGATGTAAGAAGTGATAATTTTCTTGATGTGGGATGAATAGAACATGTTATATTTAGAACTAAAGTAGAAAATGATTTAGTATCTGTTATAGAAAAAATGTTAAAATAAAGTAAAAAAACCCAGTTAATGAAGAATTAACTTGTCAGAGGTGTAACTGTCTATGAATCATGAAAAGGGAATATGATCAATTCATATCAATTAATATCATATGTCATGAGTAAATGAAGCAATTGAAAAATAACATTTTTGCAAAGGCAAAATGTGGCAAGGTTACAAAATAATCCTCTTCCCTTTCTGATGTCTTTGCCTAAGTATGTTTTGCAGTTTTCTTCTTAATTTGACAATGCTTGTCCTGAATTAAAAATCATGATTCAAACACACTCATTGCCTGAGTAGTGTGTTGCTTTATCTCGAAGTTTGTTTATATAAAGCTGTGAAGAAATGAGGACCAAATGATAATTTCTTTATGGAGATGTTGCTTTGCTCCCATCTGACCCAACCATCATCTTGTCTTGCCCAGCTCTACTGGGCACATGTTTCATTCCACCCTTTAAACCATTCATCTCTAACCCTACACAGTATGTCCTCTTAATTTAATTTTGTTTCTAATGCATGAGAGAGATCATTTGAGTTTCTATTTCCTACGCTGGTATTTCTGGTCCTGCTGAGTGCTTTCATATTAATGGCAACCCATGGTCCAGAGTGACAGCAAGATCCCTGGCAAACACAGCAGAAATCAGCACACGCTTTACGCTGTCTGCATCTTCTGCTGATTGCAGGTGCTCTGCAAAACTCAGCCATGCTGTGGGACTTGCCTTTTCACTGCCAAGAACCTGCACTCTTTTCCGTAGCTCTCAATGCTCAAAGCTTCTTATAAAAGTAATACCTTTTCTTTCCTGAAATACTGAAATATAACCATCCTTGTTCAAACTACAGAGTAAGCCTAGGGGTGCAATGATTATAACCTTCATAATTTTTAATCCTATATATGTAAATTTATCCATGCTAATCCAAATGCAGTTTACAAAGCTGTACATACCCAAACTGCACACAGAGCATGAAACAAATATTTCTATGCAAATAATCTGTAAATAAGAAGTCTGCAGTTATTTTCTAGCTCTTCTGTGGAAAGAAGGTGTTACTGTCTTCATTTTGAGAGACTTCATTTTGTCTTCAAGCTCATTTAGTCAGAGAACTCTCTGATTAAGGAAAATTTAGGGTATAAACCAGATAAGGAAGTCTAAAATCAGATGACAATATATTTTTCATTAATTAACATTTGAGGCTGTAGATGCTTCCCCAGGGTAATGGTCACAGCACCAAAACTGAGAGAGTTCTAGAAGGTTTCACAATGCTCTCAGGCACATGGAGTGACTTCTGGGGTGTCCTGTGCAAGGCCATGAGCTGGACACTGTGATCCTGATGGGTCCTTTCCAACTCGGCACATTCTGTGATTCTGTGAAGGGATGTGAAACAGCCCTTTAGGACACTCCCTTCCTCAAGCTCTTACTGCTCAAAATAAAAGCAAATAGAAACCATATGAGAGAATATTTCAAGCTGCTATGTAATGATGGGGAAAGGTTCCTCCAGTGATCTACTGTTTAAAACTGAATTCTCCAGCTAATTTTCATAGATCAGACAAACGTTCTGTTCCTTGGCTTCCCCATCTGTAATAGCAGTGCATACCTTTCTCGCTGGGGAACTATGCACTTTAATTAATCAACAATTGTAGATTGCTATATAGAGCGGAGCAAACAATCTGGAGTGAACAGTTTATTCAATGAATTCAGCCTGCTTGCAGAAAATCCTTGAGCAGATGGTGTTGCCATCAACTGCAGAGGAAAAGAGCGAAATATCACCCCAGTCTGACTATTTCTGATTTGTTTTATTTCACTTACATAATCTTTCGCCCCAGGGAAATATTTCTCAAGGATGAGGAACCTTTTCTTTACAACAGTCTAAGAGCTGCCTCTAAAACTCCAGTGCCCATGGGACCACTGGAGCTCCCTCTGCACAATTCCCAAGGAGCTAGGTGGAGGGGCCTTCCATATGCAGTTTGAATGATGGAAGACCACAGGGAACAGTTCCCACTTCAGGGAAGAGTTTTACCATATCTGGAAAGCCTTTTTAACTATCTTGTCTTTGCTGAAGTCTTCTGATAATTGGATAGCATTGCCTTGACATCAAGAACTAAAATGTATATTTTCAAGGATAACAGAAAGATAGAAATCTATAATGATTTTTGCTTTGAAATATTAAAAAAATATATCATGAAGTTTGACAATGATGTACCACAAAAATTCAGTTATTCAAGAGAACAGAATTGGTTTTTTATCTTAAGAGTCAACTTATTTCAAAGGGTGGTACCTCAATTTATTTTGTTTTATTTTTTTATATGTATTCCCTGGGAGACTAAATTAGGATTTACATTAATTTTTAGGTAGATATTTTATAAAATATCTAGTATTTTATAAGTATATGTAGTGCTATCCACTTCATAACAGCCAACATATCAAAATTATGACTGTGTATTAGGTTATATAGATTGTAGCAAGAGCTGCAATTAATAGCCTTAAGGGCCCACTCACATAGTATTTGACAGCTAATGGTCAGTGTGATGATGTGGACTGTTATTCAATCTCTAGTCACACACAGAAAGTAGACGAAATGTTAGCTTAAAACTAGATGTTATAAAGGATTTTGCTGCTGAGTCAGAATTTAGATGGCTTTAGCTTTCTAAGTCCCAAGCTGAATTGTTTGTCTTTACCTTTTTCTTTTTTTTTTCCCCTCTTTACAGTTTTAGAAGTATCTAAAACTCACAGAAGTCCTTATGCTTGTTGTATGAAGTCCAGGAAACTGCCACTTTTGCGGCTTAGTTTCTCTTCATCAGCAAAGAATTTCCCAAATCTTTTTTTTTAAAGGAAATCCTAAGCCCATTTGCATGTCAGCTCCTGAGAATAAAGTAGAAACATCCTTTACTGTTCCTACTTGACTGGAAGTTACATTGGAGATCATTACATGCTTGGTGCCTATGGATACACGTTACATTGAAATGTAATTGAGATTAAGAGTGAATATTCCTAAGCAAATGGCAAGGCAAACGTGCTTATTTGGTTTGCAGATGGGAGAAGGAGTTACTTGAGGACAGGTCAGTGAAAAATAAGACTTGGAAATGT